AAATTTGGTTATGGAAAAAAGATGGTTCTTCAAGTGTTCAGTAATAAAGGAAATGGTTCTATTTGGAACCATGAGTTCTATATAGTGCTATCTAGAGTGCTATGCAGGACCATATACAACACATTCTCCATCAATCTGAAGAATACTTTCACCATGCAAAGAGCCCTTTCAGCATGAAATGATTCTATATAGAACTCTTGGTTCTAATTAGAACCATTCACTAAAGAATCCCTGTAGTGTAGATTAGTCGTCTAAACATTTGTGTGGCCTGGTACTCCAAAATTTCTGTCAGACAGCTTATAATCAGTTCAACGTTGCAGATTCCTAAATGCTTTTAAATGCACTTAATTGGAAATTGCAACAACAAAAACCAGGTCTAGTGCTCAGTGAGATAATCTGATAAGCTAACAGTCTTTCAACAGCAGAGTGACAGAAGGGGACGTTTTGGCAAAGCAGGCCTCGATTGTGTCCTGAAACTGCCCCCCTTCTTACAGCCAGACTGCTTTTCTGATTGTACTACGATGCTTTAAAAGAGTTTTATCTACAACATCTAGAGTAACTTCACGTGGAAGAGTCATTTCAGCACTTGTCATTTTACTGTGCGGCTTTATAAGCTGCATTCAGTAGCGAGTGAAGAAGGTTACGTCAGGATGATGAGTTTGAAAATGACAGCTATAAATGCTATTTTTTTGTAATGTAAAAAATGAAGACAATCGTTTGCGTGGATCTTTTCGCATCGGTTTAACGTGCAGTGTTTAAGTAAAAAGAACTTATCTCTTCAAAGCCATCAGAATAAGAAGCCATACGGCAACACAGTGGTTTGCACTCAGTTGTGCACTCAGCTCAACTAAGTGAGTTTTGTGTTAACACGTCCTCTACAGGGAAACCACTTAATGTGTGTTCTATTCATTTGCTGAGATTAACGTATTGGAATAAACAAAATATAAAATGTGCCATAGATTTTGCACAGGCCGCATTCCTTGGCTTATTTTTTTAGGTATTCAAGCACTAAGCTTTTTCCTCGCCACTGTCGCCTCTGGCTTGCTCATGGGGGGCTTGTACCCGGATTCAGTTCCTTATGTCTATACATGGACTCCTTTTTTATTTTTCTTTTATTTTCTTTTTATTTTCCTTTTTTATTCTTTTGATTCTTCCATAAACTGCTTTTCTGTAAAGCTGCTTTGAGGCAACACTAGTTGTAAAAAGTGCTATACAAATAAATGTTGTTGTTGTTGTTGTTATTTTTTTCCAGTATGGTAAATTCAGATAAACAGTAAAATGAAATGTGTAATTTATTTTTCCTTAGAAAATCAACAAATGAAATTGGACCAAGGGCACCCAAACTTTTGCATAAATCTGTATATGAAAAGACTTTTGACAATCCACTGCATTCAGGTGTTGTTTGAGTTTTATTTATTGTAATCTAGTAACATTTTGGTAGTATGTCAAGTTTTCATGGTGTACTATTATTAAACTTGTATTTGTTTGTTTCAGTAGCTTTCTCTTGCTTTTTGGTATGTTTGATGAAATTATGAGTAAACACAGAGTTTCCTCGTATGAGTTTCCTTCCTTCTTAGACAGACTGCTTTTCTGATTGTGTCGCAGTTCCACCCACGCTATGTGGAGTCATTTCAGCACTTGTGATTTTACTGTGCCGCCTTTGCATGCTGTGTTTGTTGCAATAGTAATGACATCAGCTTGACGATTTAGGGTTTTAGTATTACAGTTATCCAAATTATTGTAACAATGCATTGTGTGAAATATTGAAATATGCAGAGAACCTCTGGTAAAGTGTAAACAGACATTATGGCTGGCTAACGTCCTAACCTGACCGAAATGTGGAAACATACATTAACGTTAACATTAAAACGAGGTGATCTTGTTTTGATATGTTTTTTTTTATGGAAAGATGGGTGGACAGTATGAAAATGTGGCCAAGTGTTGCATTGGCATTGATGTATAAACAGATACCCAAGCTCACCTTAGTATTTTTCTTATTTAAATTCAAATAATGTATGTTTTTGTATAGTTTTTTTTACCACACATGCCGCTGAACCACAGAAATGTTGAGACAATGTAGTCTGTGTGTGACAAATACTGTATTGTATTCTATTTATCTCCTACTCAAATGACCTTTTAGTTTGAAGTTCAGTAATGTAGCACTACTGCAGTTAAGTTTATGAACTGAAATTCTATATTGTGTGAATGATTTTAAATATGCTAATCTGTCTAATTGTTTATAGAAGAATTACACTGTTTTAATCAGGAAGTGCTAAGGTTAAACTCCGCATAATTCACTGTGACCTTTACCAAGAACTGTGATGCCGCTTATGTCGATAACACTCGTCATTCATCATCAATTACTGACAGACTCCCCCCCACCCGCCTAAGCCAAATACATGATGCATATGCATTTTAAGGAGTTTTTAAGACCAAATTTTCTACTGAAAGGTGCAGCCTCTCTCAAGACTTCAGCTGTGTATTCACCAAAATGTAGCTGCTGCATCATTTAAGGTGGAAAAGGGGATTTTCGAACAAGAAGTTGGTGAATAGGAAGCCGACAACGGCTTTGTGCTAATGCTAGCATATCCGTTAGCTCGCTAGGTTAGAGAGCAGTGCCTCTTTAGGATTGAAATGAAGCCGCTAGCAGTGCTTCAGTTGACAAAAACATAGAATTCGTTTCATTTCAATGCAGACCATCTCAAGTGTCAAATACCACTACATCCTGAAAAATGGACACTCCGTCTAGCAGCTTTAGTGGACTGTACAGCTGTACATGTTTGAGCCACCAGAACCAGAATCCAATTCAGAGCCAGAGGACACTGGCCTACCCGAGAATCAACCTCTCGGTCTGCGACAGAACAGTCATTTTTTCTCCCATTTATTCAAGTTTGCAACAGGTATTACTGAATAGTATAATCCAGCCAAATAAAGTTAGGCTATCAATAAATAACGTAGAACAAAACATATTTCGCGATTGAGCAGGTGACCCACTGATGCTAATGTGCTCTAGATTTTTATAACGTTGTATTGTTGGGGGAGGGGTCATGCTAAGTATGGCCCCAGTGCTTCATTAAGCCATGATTTCAGATCCACCCAAAAATTCCTTTTTTTATTTTGTTTAGTGCCTGAAAGAGTCATAAGCACATAAATGCATGTTGTTACACAGCAATGTTTAATGTAGAAACCTTGTAATTAATTCTGATCATTTTTCCACGGTACAGTAATGCTAATTTACACTAGTGACCCTAAAGTAATTGCAATAATGTGTTATAGCAACACTGACTAAATGCTGATTTACTTTTAAAGGTTACTGATTTGGGTTTATTGAGAGCGTTGTCAAGATATTTTTGACAATTTTCCACAATTTTATGGAAATTTTTTTGAACAAAATAATCAAGCAAAAATTACAAGAAATCTGTTTTTAACATATAACTAGAGACTAAAATATGTTGTTGCTATGTACCAATTTTTGATTTTAAAACAATTTAAATCTTTAAATCTTAAAACAATTTTCGAAGCTTAGCATAAAGAGGCAGAATCGTTTGAAATGCTTCTAAACTTCTTACAGTCACAAAACCAAACCTTTGGTTAATAAAACCAGTGAAATTGGTTAATCTTTTTAATCTCACATGGAAATTATGTAAAGCATTTATGTTCTGCCCACTTGATCTGAGATAAGCAGCACTGTTTCATGTCAGGTTACCACACAGTCTTAATGATCTAGCTATCTACCGCATCCAAATCTCTACTGATAGACACATTTCTACTGTCACACGGCATACCATCAAACCGCCCAAACCTAAGGGCTGTGTGTGTACATTATTCCTGCTGTAACCTTTGTGACCCCTAACTGTTCACACTTCTTTAAGGTATTTTTCTCCAGTAGTTTGAGGTTGCTGTAAATTGTATCTCTAATTGTTGCCAGCCTTGCCTCGTTTGGTATCTGGTATGTTACTGTCTGCAGTTAATCAGAACCCAACACAGAACATCAGTAACTTTAAGATAATGTCACATACATGGGTGGGAATTAGAGTGGTGAGTGAGAATGGTGTTGTGCAGGACGAAAGACCTTAGCATGTCTAAAACAAAGAAGCCATGATGACTAAGCAGGTTTTTATTCATTTGACGTATTTAGGATATAATGAAGTACATCATGGCCAATTGTAACAATATAATCTTGTTTCTATACATGTTTGACCAGAAAAAATGAAAAAACAAAACATGAAGCATATGTCTCTGTGATGTTTTAGTCTGTAGTAAAAAATGTCGCTATGAAAAGTGCACAAAAAATGTTGGTGAGAATGAGATCATCAATCAAAAAAAGTGTTTTTTCATTACTATTACACGACAATTCAATCTTCAATATGAAAACATATACAACAAAATGAATTTATTTTTGTTATATATTATATCTATATTTTAAACTTTATACTGTCAAGAGTTTAAATTGCAACATAAGACACATCAGTAAAGAACTGGACACATTTGCAGCAATGAGATTAGACATTTTTAATGCCCTCCTGCAAGACAGACAGCATGGTTGCCTTTATGATTTTCATTTCATTATTTTGATAAGTTATGTCTTTATATGAAATACCCTACATAATGAATTCTGTTCATTAACAAAACATAGCCAATGAACAGCGTTTCTATTGCGTATATCTTCTTCTTTTGGGATGTGAGACGTAACAGTTTTTTTATGAAAAAGCTTCCTAAAGGCTTCCTACTGTAACAGTAATCCACAGCTATGACAAGTTGGGTTATACGGCAGTTTGGGATTCATTTGATGGCTTGAAAGGATGATTCTTTAATCGGTTACTGTATAATGAATAGACTAGGTTACAGGCCTTAAGCACAGCGTTTATCAGGTAGATCAGACATGCTGTCTTTGGTCATTTTCACACTCGCGTGTCTGCTCTGCACTCTGAGAGGAAGGTGTGGTGAGTGGAGGAAGCGGTGGGGGCAGAACCACCTGCTTTTAGTAAACGTTTGACAATAATGTCATTTAAATAGAGACAGAGAACCTTACCAGCTAAAACTTGAGACAGAGACAGAGAGAGATACAGTGAGAACTTCACACTCCTGCAGAGAAGACAAAGATGAAGATGAGCTGTGTGTGTTTGGTTCTGGGGCTGGTCCTGCTGATGACCGTCTCCTCAGATGCTGAGCGTGAGTTTGAAATTTTTTTTTGTAACACATTTTCTGTCTTTAAAAATCAGCACTTCTGCATATTTTAAGAATTGTAATTGTAAAATTGTTAATTACTATTACAAGTATAATATACTTTAATTACTTCTGCTGCTGCTGCTACTAGCAATAGTACTAAAATATTATCCATTATATTTTATTATTTAGTGATAGTAATACAGAATTTGTTACATATTATTATTACTATTATAATGATTGTTATTAGGAGTAGTAGAAGTAATACTTGCATTGCATTGCACATTTTCAAGAGTTCTCAATATCAGGCATTTGGGAATCGCGAGTCGACTATAAAGCTTTGAACTCATACAGTGACAAAAGTTTTACTTGACACAAGTCTAAGATGTTCTGCTGTCACTCTCAAGATGGCCTGTCTTGATATACGTCCTTCAGCAACATGTACATCAGTAGATTGGCTGTTTTTTTAATTGTGGTCATAGTGGAAAACTAAATTGCTTTGTTAAAATCTTACAAGTCATATGATAAAACTGATGATTTTCGATTCCCATTGATTCGCATTACTTGGAATCAGGATCGGAGCTGACTACATCATTTCTGTAACTGTACAGCCCTACACAAAATGCAGCTCCAGGTGTTTCATAAAAATATTTTTTAAAGATGATTTTTGAGGCCTGTTCATTTAACCCTGAACAGTTTCTGTTAAACATGTGCTTTTTGGTCACATGCAGGCTGTAGTGGATGGGAAGCCATTGATTTTTGCGTTAATTAAAATATTAACTGTTTTTGCAGCAATTGAAACGAAAATGTTTTAATTAGTATTCTTCTTTTCCTCAGCTCATGGCACTGGCGGCCCTTATCAGTGCTGTTTTGAATTCGTCCATTTTAAAATTCCAGAAAAAAATATCATACAGGTTGTGAAAACACATTCCAACTGCCCAAAGCCAGGCTATGTGTGAGTATCTGCTTTAAGAAGATGTATATGTGGGTTTCTGTTTTATTATGTCGTACAAACACATGTGTTTCTATATTACCTCTGGTTTGCTAATGAATTTCAGAAGATGAGACTCGTAACTGAAAGGAAAATGAATAAATGCAGTGACTAACTGTCCTGTCTCTGTCTTTAAGGGTCACAACACTGAGAGGCCAGTTCTGCAAGGAAGAAGTAGTCCTGAAGAAAAACTAGATTTCAGAGCTGGAGCTTCAACACAACCCAGACAGAGCACACAGAACAGCTAAAAGCTTTAGGCAATGTTTTAGTCATTGCATCATTTTATCAATCAGTGCTTTGCTTTTCCAGTTTTATCAGTGCTTGTTTAATGCTGTGAAAATAAAGTAATATATAACAAAATTGTAAGTGAACAATTTATATTTTCACTATATTATTTGGATATGATATGAAAGAGTGATATTGTGGTGGCTCATCATGGTCTGCGTGCACATGCAGAACTACACAAACTACATAGATGAGATGATAACAATGTTTATTGGTAATAATGTGCTGTTAGATAAATTATACAATGATAAAATAAAAAAGATATCAATATATCAAAAGCTGTAAACATAATGAGAACAAAAACAAAATAGGAGTGATGTTGGGTTTTAGGCTCTGGTGTTAAGAACACTCTTAAAATATAGGTGTAAAAAAAACAACACATTCTACCCCTAAATAGACAAACTAGTGTGTTCAGTTAGAGACAACACAAAATGTGCTATCGTATTTCTATGTCAAGTTACAGATAACACATTGGTGTCACTTTTTAGAGTGAAGAAGGTGAAAGGTTTGTTGATGGTGAGAGCAGTGTTTGAGAATAATTAGGAAAATGTTTAGCACTAGTTGCAAAAAGGCTGACTCGGAGTCTAATGAGAGCTTTGAAGTGCGTGTGTTCTATCCAGGGAGCCAAAGTCACTCGATCAGAAGGCGATAAGCTGAGAGAGACCATCAGCCTTACTGTGGAGAGGCCAGACTGATGTTAAACACTGAAGCATTGTTTTAAGAACACTAGCAGTTTCTTTGATTAGTGCACCTTGGTCATCTTAGCAGCGTGCAGCAACACTCACAGTACAGAATATAATGGTATATAACACAGCAAAGCAGCTCATTCCTACTTTATCTTAGGGTGGAAATAATTTCTTCCCAATCAAATGTTTTCCTGAGGGTGCTGCATGGCATTTGAAGTTATCTGTACTTATCAGCATTTATGATGCCTTCAATCAAAAACAAATCGCCAGGTTCAAATCTACTAAACATCCTCAAACATGCACTGATCTTCCACCATCGTTACCTGATGACTGTAGACATAATTTCATTGCGTCTGTGGCTTATATACTGCCTTTGGCTTCTTTAACAGATCTTAAATTTAGACTTTGTTCATAAAATGTTACTCCACATCTCAGATGTACAGTTTCAGTGTTCTAGTGATCCTGCATTTCCTTTTCTCAGTAACGGCTTCTTGTGCGGAACTTGATTTTCTTCTCTATCTCAAAGATGAAAGTACTGTTTATCTAATGAGGACAGCTTTGGTGGTCTGCCAGGTCTTGCAGGTCGTTGTTAAGAGTCTCTTTTTTTGTAGCTTTTAATTATTTTTTGAACTTTCTGAACAGCTCTGGAAACTATTTATTTTCCTGTAATTATACCCCTTTGTGGTGCAAATAGATTAATTATATCAAATCTCCACAGAAATATCTCCTTTAGCCATTTTAGGTGCACATGAGAAAGAAATGTGTGACGCAGCTAAGGTGAGTTTGGGTGGTTCTTTGTGTGAATGTTAGTGTCACTTTGAAGGGGACATAATGCCACTGACTCCTTTGGGAACAGCTTTTTTTCTTTCATCCTTAATTAGCTGTCCGTCTGAACCTAATGAATTGGATATGCTGACTAAATGTTTGGAAGACACTTTTTGCTCTACTTTAGATAATGTGGCTCCACTAAAAAGTAAAAGAATAAGGCAGAAAAGGCTCCATGGTACAATGATCATACTCGAGATATGAAACAGACTGTTTCTGACTGGCGATTAGAGCGTAAATGGCGTCAGACTAAACTTGAGGTTTTCTTATCTGCCTGGAAGGAAAGTCTTACAGACTATAGAAAAGCACTAAAGTCAGCACGTTCAGCCTATCTCTCGTCAATGATTGAAAATAACAAGAATAATCCTAGACTACTATTCAGTACAGTCTCTCACGCAGCTAACAAGTGCAGTGTCCTATAAACCTAATCTAGATCTAGAGTGCAGTATAACCACTACAGAGATGCTGGAGTCTTTTACTTTACTCCAACAAACAGAGCTTGTCCAAATTATTTCATCTTCAAAAAGAACAACTTGTATACTAGATCCTATTCCTACAGGTTTACTTAAAGACGTTTTGCCAGAAATAACCAAGCCTTTTCTATCTATAATAAACTCTTCTCTCAACCTCGGCTATGTTCCAAAGTCTCTTAAATTAGGTGTAATTAAACTCCTAATTAAGAAACCTAGTCTTGATCCCTCTGAGTTATCAAATTATAGACCTATTGAAATCTTCCCTTTTTATCAAAAATTTTAAAGAAAGCCGTGGCAAAACAATTATGTTCCCATCTGCGTAGGAGTGATATATATATGAAAAATTTCAGTCTGGCTTCAGGCCTCACCATAGTACTGAAACAGCATTAGTGAAAATTGTAAATGATCTTTTATTATCCGCTGACAAAGGAAACATATCCTTACTGGTTTTACTTGATCTTAGTGCAGCTTTTGACACAATAGACCATTCCATTCTATTAGACAGGCTTGAAAAGTTAGTAAGAGTGACAGGTAAAGCTCTTTCATGGTTCAAATCTTACCTTAGTGATCGCTATGAGTTTGTTAATGTAAATGGTGAACCATCAGCTCTCACAAGAGTAAAGTATGGTGTTCCACAGGGCTCTGTCTTAGGACCCATATTATTTACCTTATATATGCTACCACTAGGTACCATCATTAGAAAACATGGCATCAGTTTCCACTGCTACGCTGATGATATACAATTGTATATTTCAGCTAAACCAGAAGACAAAATTGAACTTAATAAGATAGAGGACTGTGTAAAAGACATTAAAGACTGGATGTCAAGTAACTTCCTCTTACTAAACTTGGTCCAAAAGCTGCTAGGAATAATCTGCCTACGTTAACTCTTAATCTCAGTAGTTTCTCAGTTGCACCAGGCACATCTGTAAAAAGCCTTGGTGTCACGATTGATCCCGATCTGGCCTTCGATGAGCATATTACCAATATTACCAGAATAGCTTTCCTCCACCTTCGTTACATTGCTAAATTAAGAAATGCACTGTCGCTACAGGATGCAGAAACATTAGTTCATGCCTTTATCACGTCCAGGTTAGATTACTATAATGCTCTGCTTTCTGGTTGTTCCCGCCAAAACCCTAACAAGCTTCAGTTAGTCCAGAACGCTGCAGCCAGAGTTCTCACCAAAACCAGGAAATTTGACCACATTAGCCCAATTTTGTGTACCTTACATTGGTTGCCAGGTAAATTCCGCATTGAGTACAAAATTCTTCCACTGACGTATAAATGTTTGAATGGCCTTGCTCCTCAGTACCGCAGTGACCTTATTTTCTATTATCAACCGACACGCCCACTTAGATCACAAGGTGCGGGCTCATTATTAGAACCCAGAATAAATAAAGTTACGTCAGGGGGAAGAGCCTTTTCATACAACGCCCCCCAGCTTTGGAATAACCTACCAGTCAGTGTCCGGGACTCAGACACAGCCTCCATCTTTAAGTCTAGGCTAAAAACTTACCTGTTTAGTCGAGCCTTTGGTTAATTAGATTTCCTGTTAGAAAAAGGAGCAGATCTGGGACAGAGTCCTATGGTCATCTGGGAATGTTGGTACTGAACTAACTATCTGTCCCCCTTAATCAAGCTTTATTGGCCAGGTATGCTTATGCGTACAAGGAATTTGGTTTTGGTTACAGGAGCTCACGGTGCACAGTACCAGACAGACATTTACATGTAGTGAATAAGATAAAATAAATATAAAATATACCAAAAATAACAAAATAAAATAAAATAAAATAAAACATGCATTCCTACCATCACTCACTCTTACACACACACACACACACACAGTCATACCTGTAAACCTTACAATGTGCAAAGTATGGGTCTAAAGTTAAAGTGCTGAGTGCAGCAGCAGTTAAAGGGTGTATAGTGGCAGAGAAAGGGATCAATGAGGTGACAGTCAGATAAGTGGGGTATTTTGGCAGGTAAGTAAGATGCTAGAATAAACACTGATTTGAGACGGCAGTTCCAGAGGATGGAGTAGAGTTTGATACTATATACAGGTATTTTGAAGTGCAGTATGAAGCTGGTATATTGTTTATGTGTAATATTTTAACTGTTTAAGAGAGTGATGGCTAGTGAGAAGAAGCTCCTTTGTAGCCTGGATGTCCTGATCCTCATCTGGCTGAAGCGCTGGCCTGAGGGAAGGAGCTGGAACAGGTGTTGTCTGGGGTGAGAGGGGTCTGTGGAGATCTTCACTGCACGCTTCCTGGTTCTGGAGGCATGCAGTTCCAGCAGTGTAGGCAACTTAACCCCAATTGTCCTCTCTGCAGATCTGATGATGCGCTGCAGTCTGTGGAGGTCATGCTTGGTGGCTGAGCTTCCCCACACTGTGATGGACATGGTGATGACAGACTCTATGATGGCTGTGTAGAACCGCACCATCAGCTCCTGGGGCAGGTTGAACTTCCTCAGCTGATGCAGGAAGTACATCCTCTACTGGGCTCTCTTGGTGATGGAGCTGATGTTGCTGTCCCACTTCAGGTCCCTGGTGATTGTTGTGCCCAGGAACTTGCAGGACTCAACTGCCATCACAGTTCTGTCCAGGATGGTGAGTGCTGGCAGGGTTGAAGGGCTCCTCCTGAAGTCCACTGTCATCTCCACTGTTTTCGCTGTGTTCAGCACCAGGTTATTGTGGCTGCTCCAAAGGACCACCTGATCAACCACCCGTCTGTAAGCAGACTCGTCACCATCTTGGATGAGACCAATGACTGTAGTGTCGTCTGCATACTTCAAGATTTTAACTGAAGGGTCCGTGGAGGTACAGTCATTCGTGTACAGTGAGAGTACACAACCCTGTGGAGCGCCTGTGCTGATGATCTGGGTGTTTGAGGTGAACTTTCCCAACCTCACCTGCTGCTCTCTGCCAGTGAGGAATGAGTTGGAGCAGTTTGTTGTGTAGCTGTCCTGGGATGACCGTATTAAAGGCTGAGCTGAAGTCAGAATTCTTGCATACGTTCCTGGGTGTTCAAGCTGTTGGAGAATAAGCTGGAGTCCCATGTTCACTGC